GTGGCCTCTCATCGGGAACATCTTAGACATGCCTCACATCCGACATCAAGCCCTGGCTCACCTTTGCTACATGGGGCAAGAAGTATGGTGAGTACCTACCGTTTCACCGATATCATGCATTTCAAGGTCTTGTCTGCAGGTAACATCTCGCACATCGAAGTTTTGGGTCAACAACATTGTGGTGCTGAACTCCTGTCAAGGCTGCGATAGACATGCTTGGACATAGAACGCACTCTGTACTCTGACCGTCCTATTTTTTCCTGTTGGCGGTGAAACTTGTTGGCTGGAAACACAGCCTGGGCCTTCTCCCTGATGGTGACCGCTTTCGCCGGTACCGCAGGAACATCCACCGCATGATTGGCAGCCGAGCCGCAGTAGGCATATACAGCCAGATCGAAGAGGTCGAGACTCGCCGATTCCTTCAGCGTGTGCTCACGAAACCCGGTCAACTACAGGCACATGTCCGACAGTATGTATTATTTGTCTTTGCATTGACATGATCTTGATTTTTATAGCACCGCTGGTGCCATCATTCTGCGCATCTCTTATGGTGATGAAGTGACGAAGAACGACGATCCTTTTGTTGACCTTGCGGATCGCGGTTTAGATCTATTCTCGCGTTCCACTGCTCCTGGTGCCTTTGTGGCTGATTTTATGCCATTTTGTAAGCCATAGTATCCCGATGTTTACTTCTATTTCCCTCACCATTTGTAGTGGTCAAAGCCCCCGAATGGTTCCCTGGTGCTGGCTTCAAGCGCCTAGTCCCTGAATGGCGTGAGACCGTCGAAAAGATGGTTTTTACGCCGTACAATTTTGTCAAGGATCAGATGGTGATCAACATCTGTAGTTTTGCGATCATGTGTAGAATTTTAATTTTTACAGGCAGCCGGAATTGCCCTGGAGTCTTTTACTTCGAATCTGTTGGAAAACCGTACGTTGTCCGTAGAAGATGTGAAGTGGTCTGCTGCATCTCTATACGGCGGCGGTGCCGACACGGTTAGTCCCTCCTTATCTACTACCAATCATTATTTCTCAGAGTATTACCCTGCTTTCCTCAGACTGTTTCTGCAATATACTCGTTCTTCCTGGCCATGACACTATTCCATGATGTGCAGAAGAAGGCTCAGGCCGAAATAGATGCTGTCATCGGTCCTGATCGTCTTCCCTCCTTCTCCGACAGAGGTTCTCTCCCCTATACCGAAGCACTTGCTACAGAAGTACTACGATGGAATGTTGTCGTCCCTACCGGTCAGTGTATCTTGTTTATCACATTCTTCAGTTGCTGAAGGGTATCTCAATGACAGGTGTCCCCCACCGTGTCACCGAGGATGACATCCATGACGGGTATTTCATTCCAAAAGGTTCCTTGGTAATACCTAACATTTGGTTGGTACACCCATTCTCTGCATTTGATATTTTAACAGAATGCAATGTAATGACAGGTTCATGCTCAATAATCCACACACATATGCTAGTCCCTTGCAATTCAACCCTGAACGCTTTTTGTCTAATGACGGAAAAAAGCCTGAGACCGACCCCCGGAAAATCTGCTTTGGTTTTGGGAGACGGTGAGCATAGAGTTGGTTACCTGTAAAATGCTAACTTTGTGCTTCGCAGCATCTGTCCAGGTATGCTCAACTCACAGAAAGCGCTGATAAATATTCCGATGTTTCTTGTTTTTGATGTGCAGGTATGCACCTCGCTGAAGCCTCCATCTGGATCTCTGTTGTGATGTCACTGGCCGTATTCGATATTTCCAAAGTCGTCGTGAACGGTGTTGAGATCACCCCTGAGGTCGATCCCTCATCTGGCACAATCAGGTATGTCACATGTCTTATCATGTCCGACGTCGGTCTGAATAGACACGATTTTCAGTCATCCGAAGCCCTTCAAGTGTTCTATTAAGCCCCGCTCTGCGAAAGCCATCGAGCTTATTGAACAGGATGCTAACTACTAAGGGTGCGAAGATGAAAGCATACATGAAGGTGTGCCACATCGCATTATGGCACATGTCTATATGTATCGCTTTATTTTGTAAGAATATTTTATGATGCGTGCTTTGGTATAAATCGGGCTACCGTCATCATGACAATCAGCCTGCAGTCTGGCACCTCCCTCCCGTTGATCAAGTGTATATTCAAGTTCGTCCAATGACTGCAGCTAGGAAGTACATTGCTTTGATACGTTTATGCTTATCCTATCTTTGAACATAGAAATTCGGATGGCCTAAATTATGGTATACAAAACACGACTAAGCCATCAAAAAATATGCAATCATCGTCCTCCAAGCCAACTTGAATGGAATTGTGAGCACCACATCGAAAACCCACTGCGTAACGTATTTCTTGCCGTTCGATAGCTAGCGCAACAAAAGGCGACCCCGACGTAGAGTATATAGTGACCACCTTCGATACATTCAGTCCTTCGGTTACGGTATCCATGATACTAACGAAATCATGGCACCTGTGGCGGGCAGAGAAAGAGAAGCTATGAGACCTACGGGGCCGCACTGACAATAAGCACGGTCGTGCTCTTAAGGAGAGACATTATCTGCTTGGAGGAGTAAAGAATGATTAAGCAACTGAGACAACAAAGACGACTTCAACCTCACCGTCAGATGGATCTCTGGACACATCAATGTCCCAGGAAATGAGAAGACCGACAAAGAAGCGAAGAAAGCGTCAGAAGGACCCAACCACAACAGTTCAAAGGACAACCTACCCAAATTCCTACGCGACGGTCTACCCAGCAGTATATCGGCAGTCAAGCAAGCCCACAAGCAGCGGAACCCGGGCCAAGAACGCTGGGAACGCACATGATCCAAATCTCCTCGCTACGCTCGCGTGGCCACCATAGACCCCAAAATCCTGAACTGTTCCGTCATCAAACTCATTGGTAAACTCCCCAAGCGCCTAATAAGCCTCTATATGTACTTCTACAGCCTAGTAGCAACAAACTTCCAGAACCTGATGCGAAAAAAGGGCATGGTGAAAATGCTGCACCACTGCTGCGACTGCTGCGCGGCATCTGCCGCGACCACTGCTGCGATGTTCCTAAACGGTGAGTGCGCATTAACTACACTTACTTACTGCTAATCACTGGAACCTCCCAGTACTTGTCCTCCGAACGAGCCATGGACTCGAGGGTGCTCCGATTCCTTATATGTGTATCCACGCTCCCAGAGTCACGGTCAGGCGATATCACCGAGATTCGTAGTACTCCCGGTCTGCAAGTCAGGTCTCTTAAACAATTATCTTGTTACTAAACGATCTTTCATACTGCATTGTAGTCTGATTCCTCCGCATACAATGTTATTTTTATTTCTTTTTAATGAGCGACTGCGTAGTCTGACGCGGCCATTGGCACCTTTCTTCGCGTTCTCGGTCCTCCATGGAATTTTTTTACCTGTCGCTCCTGAGCGTTGAGGCCTAGGTCCAGTCAGTCCAGTGACACCTGTGTACAGCCCCACAGCCCGGGCATATGCATGAGGATTGGCAGCTGAGCATGCTAATTTTTCGTTAGGTGTAGTACTATACGAGTAGGGCGGGCATGGTCACGATTGTCATTGTGTTCGTAACATATGTTATTAGTATGGGATGTATATGACTTTTCCGGGGCATTCCTGATGAACGAGTTTTGTTCCGCAGTCATTTGAAGCGTGCAGTTGACTGATGAGTGTGAATTTGTGTGTAGCAGGACGTGTGATGGTTTAGCAAGTTGGCTCGTCAGAAACAATGATTCTGAGTCCAATACACGTACTAGTACACCATGTTCGAAAACCATCTACCCAGTTCTCAACATCATCACTCCGTCCCTTACCGCCTCCTTGATTCCTGTTAGCCCAGTATTGTTGAGGGCGCTGCATTAGTAGGATAATAGTAGCTATACATGTGCTGGATTAAGTCCTGTTGTCCTTGTCAGCCTCGCAGTGCGCACACAGAAGATTGCAAGACATACTAGTAGAATGACAAATTTGACCATTGCTAGTGCATAATCTTGAGGATCAAACGACACAAGTTGCTCAAGCTACCGATAGCAGAAAGTCAGCTTGATTTGGAATTGAATATGAGTTACTGACAAGTGTCGCAGCACTTTGTCGCGGGCGTTGCGGTCGTCGCGGTCATCGCGGGCACCTTCTTTCCATATTTGGGGGGTGCTGCGATATGGTGCCCGCGACGACCGCGACGACCGCGACGCCCGCGACAAGGTGCTGCGACACTAGTATACTTACATCAGGAAAACATCGAGTTCCTTAAACGCTCCTTATTTGCCTTAATTTGCTCAATAAGGAACTTTTAAGGCCGTTTTTCGTCCTTAAATTAAGGAGACTAAGGAGATCCCTTTCCTTAAACTAAGGAAATAAGGAGGATAAGGAGCGGATAAGGAGCGGATAAGGCGGTCAAGGCATGTTATTATTTCAATAGACACAGAATAATCCAAGTACGCTAAGGCGAAAATAAGGACGTCAACGAGTTCAAGGCGGTCAAGGCGTGCTATGAAAATGACAAAAAAATATTAAAAACGGTGTAGGACAGCAATTGACGAGAGCAGAGATTGAAGTGAAACGATACGAGGCTTTCAGATACGGATACGTGTACGTGGATTGACGGGGGTTTCACCATCGAGAATAGTAGACTCGTCCTTGCGGCGAGCACGCTTCATGTACGCCTGAGATCGTTCCACAATTTCTTTGATGCGGTCGAAGGGCAGCTCCTCGATCCGTTCCATGTACGCGAGTGTATCAGTCTCCCAATTACCCGCAGAAAAAGCAGTGCCTGTGTTACTCATTTTGTTTGTGGACTGATTGAGAGTCAACGCGATCTTGTGTTTCCCGTGGTCCGAAGTATCTTCCACAATCAGGTCGTCGCGAGCTAAAATAAGTGCACGCTCGGCCTGCAAATGAAAGTTAGCAAGTTTTGTAAAGGTGCTGCAAAACTCACGGCTGCAGTGGTCAGTGCAAGGGCCGTTTGATATCCAGGTAAGCCGAAGTCGAGCGAGTCAATTATCTGGCGTCCTTGGGTGGCATTGAGTTGAACAGCGAAGATGCGCAAGATGAATTCCGATAGGAAAGCTCCAGGTGAGTCTTCGTTATCCGGATCTTCATATACAAAGCGCGAATCTTCAAGTTGATATTCGGCATAGTCTTTGCGTGCCTCCTTGGTCTTGAATTCGTCCGTGGAGGCGAAAAACGCCATGAGAATCGTGATAGCGGTGGAGCCGAAGTTGCCTCTCCATTCAGAGATCCTTTGGCATACCTGCCAACATAGTTGTCAGCTAGAAGTACCGGAATACAATTTACTTACGACGTTGAAGGCAAGATTACAGCCATCATCATTCCTAAAGTCTCCAGGCTGCTTACACACCGCCATGAATATATCCTCGAGAACGTCTGAGAGTTTCTCATCGGGGATGGTCCATGGATAGCTGTTGTTGCCGACCCAGTGCATGACCGTTGGAATAAATATGGAACGAAAGCTGAGATTCTGAACAGCGCTGGGCAAGTGAGAATTCTTCGGCTTTTCTTTCTTCAGATTGAGTATCGTACGTGGCGCACGTCCATTTTCGGTTTTGACGAACTTGGATGTTGGACCGTCCATCGTGGTATCCATGACGCTAACTGACATCTGCATAGGAATTTGTCAGCGTTGTCAGGCGACCTGAGCAAATTCTCCATACAGAGCTTGTGAGTCGACTGCTTGAGACCTATAAATCCATGATAGTGGTGAGCGATTCATCTATCTCACAGGACCCACCAGTACTTACCTCAATAATGTCACCCTGCTGATCCGTCATCTCAACATCCTCATCCTCATCCTCAGCCGCACCCTCATCCTTGTCCGGAATATATTCGTCGGCATCGTCTTCTTCCATTTCACGCGGCTCTTCGGGCTCGAGGTCATCCAATGAGGTCGTGGACAAGGTACGCTTCCGTCCCCTCGTGGCATCATCAACAGTCTCAATCATACGCACGACACCCTGCATTGATTTTAGCATTCCCCATTCACAATCATGAAGTCACTCACCTGACTACCCCGACTCACAGTTACGCTCTCATCATGATCTTCAGGTAGGTTTTCGTCTTCGGATATGTCCGCATCCCTGCTTGCAATCACTAAAAACTGTTAGCGATGTGTGCAGACATGAAACTCAACCTACCACTGGCATGTGCACTTGGTGGCGCAGATGGCTTCCGTTGGGACTTCGATGCCACGCTTTTAGCCCACTTCCCCACTTCCACCTCCTCTGTCGATATGGCGTGTTCAGATCCCCTACATTGCAGTGAGTGAAATATGTCGAAGTAATAAAGAGTCAGCTCTGATAAGAGTAACATCGCAGTTAAGACGAACTTACAACGACCTTCGATTTTTCCCACTGTCACTGCCCCTGCCCGCGCTTAGTACAACGCACGTTGTAGATGATGTACCATTGTTGGACACCTTTCGATTGGCGTTGACACCATCCTTGAAGGTGAGTTTCAAGCCTGGATATTTCTTCTTCGGGGCGTCAGTGCTTTTGGACACTGGTTTTGCCCCAACAGCTGTATAAATGTCAAAGAACTGGTAAGTCTTGCAACAGCATTGTATTGCGTAAGGCTTACGCGTCTTGTCGGGGTTTGCAGTTGGCGCTGCCTTGGTCACTGGGCGCGGCTTAGGCTTTGGTCTGACAAGGCGTCCTGGGCCAGCACGTTGAGCTGTCTGCTCAACAGCCATAGCATCTTCCGTTGCAGCGACCTTCTTTTGAGCATCTTCTAAGGCGATTGCCTTGGCTGATTTCTCTGCTGACGCCTTTTTTCTTTCAGCTGCAATTACATCCTTTGGACGTGCTACGCGACTCGCTTCAAGAACTATCTGTCCAGGATGTTTGTTAGCATTCCCTGGGCGCGTTGCAGGTCGAGGCATGGTGAGATCTAGGACAAGCTGTTGGAGGAATGCTGGTAGCAAGGTGTTGAAAGAATATGGACGCTAGCAAAAGGTGGCAACGAACGGGTGAAGTTATATTTTTTTCGATTGAGCATGTCATAATTTCTGATTCACACACTTAGTATTAGTCTAGTCTGCATTCTACGTATTCTGCTCCCTGGTATCCATCTCACTGCGACTACCCACTGTCCAACATGGCCCCAGCTGTCACCAGGCTCGTTTGTCGGTTTCCAAACTGCAATCGGGTCTTCAAAAACAAGTCTGGCCTCACTCAGCACACACATGCGAAGCACGGTACCCCACAAATACAAAACCTCAATCGCACAGCTCCGCTCACAGGTCCCGGATTTATACCTCCACGGAGTCGTTCTCCCACTCCAGCAGGTGTTATCGATGAGAATATTTATGATGACCCGGCTGGCGACCAGGGTTTTGTACCTGAGGAAGGTACTTGGGCGGATATGGGGCGCTTATTGCGTACTTTCCATCCGCACCTCACAGGTGGGCGTTTTTTAAGGAGTTCATCTTACTGTTACTCATTTTTTGTCTTAGGGCTCAAATGCGATGCTAATGGGGCATTTATTGACCAGGATGCACCCCCGCCACCTCACACGGATGCCCCCCCAACCGATTGGACGCCTTATGACAATCGTGTTGAATTTGAGACGGCGGAATTCTTATTCACGCGCAATCAAATGTCTGCAAGGCAGATTGATACACTTCTCGACTTGTGGGCCGCGACTCTCATAAAGCACAATGACGCCCCCCCATTTGCAAACCATAGGGACATGTACGCTACAATTGATGCAACACCACTCGGCGATACCCCTTGGAAGAGCTTTACGTTGTGCTACAACGGAGCCAAACCCGAACAAGACGTACCGCCGTGGATGGATGGACAATATGATGTCTGGTATAGAGATCCATTGGAGATGACGCGTGGCATTTTGGCAAACTGTGATTTCGATGGAGGAATTGAGTATTCACCCTACCGCGATTATACTACCGAGGACAAACGATATTGGAAGAACTTTATGTCTGGTGACTGGGCGTGGAATCAGGCAGTACGTCTCTTTCATATTTACATTTTTGGCATACTAACAATCATCTCAAGGATGTTCTCGCTCAAAATGAGGAGAATCATGGTTCGACATTTGTACCATTGATTATCGGCAGTGATAAGACTGTTGTTTCTGTCGCTACTGGTCAGACCGAATACCACCCACTCTATCTCTCAATCGGGAACATTCACAATAGCGTACGACGGGCACATCGCAATGGTGTTGTGCTCATTGGATTTCTTGCGATACCGAAATGTAGGTGCTTGTCATTCTCAATGGATCACTGTATCATAACCTTCATTTGTCTAGCTACGAAGGAACATAATGACGACATCAAGTACAGAAATTTTCGACGGCAGCTATTCCAGCGCTCCCTTGCGAAGATTTTCGAGTCTGTGAAACCTTTCATGGAAAATTTCGATGTCACACGCTTTCCGGATGGCCACTATCGACGAACGGTGTATGGCTTGGGCCCTTACATAGCGGACTATCCAGAACAGATACTTCTCTCTGGCGTCGTGCAGAACTGGTGTCCACGGTGCGTCACCAAACTTTGTTTTGCTTTTCAACGACTTATTTATTATCAAATAGGTGTCTAGGAAATAGGAAGGACCTTGACGGCGCTCAACCATGTCTCCATCGACGCAAAGCACATACTGAGTTGCTCGTCGAGCAACTCACATACAAACAGGCTTGGGAACAGTATGGCATCATTGCCGATCTCGTTGTAAGTTGCTCACTGAAACTCGCTAGGTCCAATCTCACCTTTTTGCTTTTCTAGCCATTTACAAATGACTTTCCTCGAGCGGACATCCACGAGCTCCTATCTCCGGATATCTTGCATCAAATAATCAAGGGAACTTTCAAGGATCATCTGGTTGATTGGGTGGGAGAGTATCTTCTGGTCACACACGGTACCCGTCATGCGGCTGAGATAATGGATGACATTGACCGCAGGTACGCAAATCTATGATGTTTTGCTGATAACTACTAATAACATACAGGATAGCAGCAGTTGCCCCATTCGCTGGGTTGCGACGCTTTCCTGATGGGCGAGGTTTTCGGCAGTGGACGGGTGACGACTCAAAGGCATTAATGAAGGTATGCTGTGTATTCCGTTCCAAACGACATGTGAGCTGACTCGTATTTAGGTCTATCTAGCTGCAATTGAAGGTCACGTCCCTCAAGATGTGGTGCGCACATTCAGTGCATTTCTAGAATTTTGCTACATTGTGAGGCGCGAGGCTCTCACTGAAGATGACCTCGTAAAACTACAAGATGCCCTCGACCGCTTTCACCAATATCGGGAGATCTTCAAGACAACCGGTGTGGTCTCGACATTCTCCCTTCCGCGTCAACACTCCCTGTGCCACTACATATTACTGATTCGACTTTTCGGCGCACCCAACGGCCTTTGCTCTTCAATTACCGAGTCCAAGCACATCAAGGCAGTTAAAGAACCTTGGCGCCGATCTAGCAGGTTTAACGCACTCGGACAAATGCTACTAACAAATCAACGCCTCGACAAACTTGCAGCCGCTCGCGTAGATTTTGAGGCACGCGGTATGCTTCGTGGCTCTTGTCTGTCCAATGCTTTGGGAGAACTCAGGAGACGTACGTGATCTTTCGCTGATGATGTAGCCCTTCTCATATCCCCAATAGGTCAGAATATTCCTGCAGACGACGACTTAGAACCGGATGACGACGCGGAGGCTAATATGGCGCAAGAAGGCCATCATGGGCGCCTGCGTATCCACGAGCCTCAAAATCAATCCGTTGAAGTGGATGCTGGTGAGATTATTGATGGACCGACTGTAGAGTCCCATGTTGAGCTTGCATTAACTCCTCGTATGTTAAACGTTTTGCTCCTGGACCCTTTCTGACAATGAATAGGTTGTGCACGAAATGTTCATGCACTCAGCCTCGAACTCGACCTTCCACGCCTCCCGTTTATGATTCAGGAATTCATACATGATCAACTCTATTCAGACGATCCCAACCCTCCTGAGTTTGATCCGGCAACAGCGCAAGTATTCCTAGGGAAACTCACCCTCTTTAATTCTGCTGCAGCCTCGTTCCATGCACCCAGTGATCTGAGTGGTACAGGAGGTATGCGTCGCGAGCACATCAGGGCAACACCATCGTGGCGCACTGGCGAACCGAGGCATGACTGTATCTTCATCAACATGGGTGTTGACTTCGACTCTCCCATGAATGGACTCGCAGTTGCGCGAGTCCTTTGCTTTTTCTCATTTAACTATCGGACCTCATACTATCCCTGCGCCATAGTTCATTGGTATTCTTATGTCCACGAAGAACGCGATCCCGACACAGGCATGTATGTCGTCACGCCGGCGACAACTGGTGACGATGTCCCAGACGTCTCAATTATTCACATCGATTGTATCTTTCGCGCTGCCCATCTCATTCCAGTCTATGGCCCGGACTTTATCCCAAAAATAAGTCCACACGACTCATACGACATGTTCAACTCCTACTATGTCAACAGATATGCCGATCACCACGCGTTTGAAATAGCGTGATTGTGGTACGTCCTTGCCTCTCATTTTGTCGTCCTTTTGCTAATTAAATACCCTACAGACCCATCTAGATGACAGAATACAATGCGATGCTCGACAACCGCCGCCCCTACGACAACCCACATTTCCCCAGGCAGGCAGGCTCCAAGACCATATCGTCTTCATATGGGTTGTGCGGCTTTCCTGGCCTGCTGCCTTCAACCTCGCTGTTGGGTACAACGTGAAGCAGATGGTCACAGCTGGTTCCAAGGGTTCATACATCAACATCTCGCAAATGTCTGTCTGTGTCGGGCAGCAAAGTGTTGAAGGTCGTCGAATCCCATTCGGGTTCCGTCATCGTACTCTTCCCCATTTCACCAAGGACGACTTCAGCCTGGAGGCATGTGGCTTCGTCAAGAACTCATATCTACGAGGGTTGACGCCGCAGGAGTTTTTCTTCCATGCCATGGCTGGAAGAGAAGGTCTTATTGATATGGCCGTCAAGAAGGCAGAGACTGGTATCATTATGCGAGATTCAAAAAGCGAGATTCAAAACAGGTAAAGCGTTGCAATTGCGTGATTTCACATGAAATGCATCTTCTTGGACAGGTCGTCTCGTCAAGGCATTGGAGGATGTGATGGTACACCATGGCCGTCAAGAAGGCAGAGACCGGTATCATTATGCGAGATTCAAAAAGCGAGATTCAAAAACAGGTAAAGCGTTGCAATTGTGTGATTTCACATGAAATGCATCTTCTTGGACAGGTCGTCTCGTCAAGGCATTGGAGGACGTGATGGTACACTATGATGGCACTGTTCGCAACTCGCTTGGAGACCTCATCCAGTTCGTGTATGGTGAAGACGGTATGGACGGTGCGTTCATCGAACGTCAGAAGATTGAGACGTTTGGCCTTGACAATGAAGCCTTTGAGCACAACTATCGCGTTGATGTCACGGATGGCAAGAATGGATTCTTGCCTAATACCCTCCAGATTGGCGTTGATGATAGCTCTCTGGAGCTGCAGATGAAGTTGGACGAAGAATACAACGAGCTTTTGAACGACCGCCGTCTTCTACGACAATTCATATTTCCCCAGGCAGACGGCCTTAATCCTCACTATTATACACTTGTACAAAACTCACTCTACGCTCAAGCCACACGTTCTGTCTCGATTCCTGCTCAAATGATAGGTAAGTTCTCATCAAATTCGAGATGTACTCGCACTCACCATGGTCTACAGTCACTCGAGGCTCGAGCAACGCGCTCTGTTTCGATTCCTTCAAAAACGGCCCCCCGCCCTCTTCAAGAACTTGAAGCACAATAATCCCTCTCCCGCTCTCGCCTTCATCTCGTTTGCTCTCGCCTCTGCTTCTTCTGCTCTCGCCTCCGCTTCTTCTGCCCTCGCCTCAGCTCTGATTGCAGCCTCCGCCCGGACAGCCACATCTCCCCACTTGCACGTCTTTCGTTGCAGTTGCACGCGAGATCTTGGAGCCATCTGATTCACCAGCACCCAGTAAGCAATGTTTGACGCGACGATTATCGATTAAAACTTACTATGATGTTTTTTTCTTAGATTTTGTAGATTTCCGCGATTGATGTGTAGATGACGAGCGAGTTGTTGTTGTCGGCGTGTCGCGCGTCTATCAGTGCTTATTGAAGTAAACGCTAACATAATACATAACATGTTTTTTTTTGGCGCTCAGCAGGCGCCTTATTTTACTTATTTTACTTTCAAAAATACAACTGCCTTTGATGCCTTAACCGCCTTGAAACGACTTCGCTCCTTAGAATACATTTCGCTAAGGAACACACTAGTTCCTTATTCTCCTTAGCAGCCTTAAAATTAATTTTAAGGAACTTTAAGTAAGCTAAGGACCGAAAAGGAACTCGATGTTTTCCTGATGGAGTTTCTGTTCCTTGCTGATCTCCATGTTTACATTCTGTCCTTCCTTCCTTACCAAGATATCCTTCAATGTACATCCGTGAGTACTTTATTTGCTGATACCCCTATGTACTGACAGTTGTCTTGCAGGTATGTAGAGACCTTCGCCAGACGTACCTGTCATCTTCTGAGCTCCAATATATTGTTGAACTCAGTGGTCAACAACTACTTCCTGTTGATCTCCCTCTCGATAGCCACACTCCTACTATCTCAGAGTGTCTACAACTCCTGAGGGACAAAGCTCATGCATGGTTCCAGTTGAACACTCAACCTGTCGAACACGTTGATGTCTCAAACAAGTACATTATGAAACTTACATTCATGTCAAATGGGCATTTCTGCCTCATGGACGACCCAACCCTGCATCATAACTATTTACGGGGTCCAACCATCTCCAAGATCTTTCCAATACTACAAAAGCCCTCACAGCGAGTGTTTGACTGTGCATGGCATTCAAATACACTGTCCTCAGTTCCCAATGCACAGCTAAATGATATTCTCATGGACCCAACGCAAAATCTGCTCGCTGCTGCATACCACGTTCCTGATGGGCTGGATGTCTATATCGACATTTACCTTTGGATGGAAATGGCGCTCACCCCCAAGCTGCTGGACCTATGCTGTTTATGTTACCAGAGCTGCATGGACCTCAGAACATTCTCCCAAAATCTGAGGGTTGGAGGATTCGGAGTCTGGGGAGGCTTATGGCTCTCTTGCACTCCCTGAGACTCAATGATCCAGACAGGATCCTGTGGTGGTTGCAGATTTGGGACTGGCAGCACTCGATGACGTCAAATGTGAGCAAGCCTTGTCGATTGAAAGACTCAATGACTGATGGATTATTTAGAGTGTCCTCAGTGACGCTACATCTGGAAGTCAAATCTCAATTGATCATTATTTCCTCAGAACTAGTAGATTGCTTATGATTGTCGGCATCAATTTGAAGGTCTATTCCATCGAGGATATGTCTCAGGCGCCACAATTGCTCACATGCTTCTTGTTGCCTGTACCTGTACGTGGTACACATTTCCTCTCCAACAACTCAAAGGACGATGGTGCACAAAGTAGGCCGCAGCCAGGGATGCAACAAAAAATGTGGAAATCAGATCCTACTCATCAAATCATATCCCTGAACATGTCACCTTCCCTCCATTTTGTCATTTCTACCAGGATTTTCTTCGAGCCCAACTTCATTAAAGGGGGGTCAACATCGATACCTTGGAAACATTGGGGCCCGTTGAATACTCGTATTTTCCAGCACTGTTCAGACGTTGTTGATTCTGCTACTGGGAGTCGAGTCTTGAAGGTGGAACATGCAATTGACGCAACAGACAGTAATGATTTCTTGGAGTACAGTTTGCGTGTGATGGACTTTAGCCCATTAGCTATCAAGTATGGGCAGGGCCTAGGATGGTTGGTGATAGAGCCATCTACGATAGACCTGGATGGACAGTCTTTAACAACATCCCTGCCTTATGTTGAGGTTGTGTTGAGCAAGATATCCAGTTCTACAGATGAGCTGTTGTTCTCATCGATTGATGAAGACAGAATTTACGTGTTCCATGTCCATGATTGCTTTGTAAGCTCTTCCCTGTCTCAAGGAAGCCTGATCTGATTTTAAACCTACAGGTCAAGGTCATTAAGATTTGGGAAGGGGTTTGAAGTGTGCTCTATTCAGGGCAATACATAAGTTCTACATGTAGTGGGAGTAGATTGTTCATGTCGAGGATGCAATTGAACAGAAACACATATAAAGAAAGAGGAATTTTAATGGCCCAGTGAGAATGAGAAGTGTATGTCGAGTGCTTGCGAGATGCGTGAAGCACTTGGCGAGGATCCCGAAGCATCGTATATCCACTGGGAGCCTGTTTAGCGCATGGCAGGGGGAGAGGACTGCCAGTTGCAGCCAGTGCACTGGTGCTTGGAGCCTGAAAGGTGACTCTTGTGATATTGAACATCTCCACTGGTAGCACGCTACTGCGTGAGGCACCAGCAGCATTCGAGACCCTGGCGGTGATAATATGGGCTTGCTGGCAATGAGGACGTGGCGGCTGTGCCAAATGCCCTTTCCCGCTGATGGCATCAGCGCTACGCTATATGGAAATATCATCCGAGTCAATGGTAGATGGATTCAAAAGGTTAGAAACCTAACATATTTCCCTCACGGTATGCAGACATTCAGCACGGGAGTCCTGTGTGGGTGGTTGGATACTATGGCTCTGGAGGACAGAGGGTGTGAAAAAAAGTTGATCGTGTTCTTTGTCATGGGATGTGATGGTAGCGGTGCGGTTGTTGTGTCAAGGTGGGGAATGTCTGTTGAACTGGTCAGAGGTGCATCGAATCTGCTGCGACATGAAGACTTACATCATTGAAGAACCCATGGCGAGTCCAGCAAGTTGTGGTCGAGGCAATTGACACGGTCCTTGCTGCGCCTGCCTTGGTCGTGACGTGCTTGTGACGCGGCACTGTAACAAATTCTAGCATACAGATCATGTTCAAAACAACTTCATATGTTATTCCAAACACTTTAAATCCTCGTTAATGATCAACATATGGGTGTCTGCCTGCATACAGGCTCTATAGTGCTGTATTCACTTCTCACCAAATTTACAGTACTTGTCCTCTGTGTTCACACTACTAGTATGCATCTTGCGCGTCAGTCCTGTATTGTTGTATTACCTCTAATTCATTCATCTATGTTGGTTTTCAGACGTGTCAAGTGGTGTCTCACTTTGTCAAGCCTCGACCTCACCCTGTCAAGTTCGATCCACTCTCTATACTCTGAGTCTGCACCACCACATCAAGCCCCAACATGTCAGAAGCCTCGTTTAGGCTGGGTCAAGCACCATTCACACCACGACAAGTTCTCCCAAACATCTTCGCAGTCTTAATATCAACATCCACACTCTATGCCGCGTCAAGGCCTACTATCAGTGCAGCATCAAACAAGTTGTGCCGCATCAAACCTCGTCAGTGTCGTGTCACATGCACGTCAAACTTCATTCATGCCGCGTCAAACCAACTGTCACACTGTCCATATCAAGGATTCCGAAGAAGCAGGACCTGCAGGCAACCAGCAGTGGGGTTTGGATGCTGGCCAACATCACAGGTGATGGAATGTGTATCTCGGCATTCCTGATGAATGGGTTTCTGGAAGAGATTATAGCGAGAGTGAACTTGAAGTGGGGAAGACATTACTTGCTGCGTTCGATAGATATCTAACTTATGTGATTGACAGCATGGCCCCTTATTCAGTGATAACTCTGATGCTACATCTTTGGAGTCTGCAGACGAGTTATCCGAAGCTGTAGTTCCTTCTCGGCTGGCTGGAGGATGTCCTCCCGTTAAACATCAATGTGCTCCACAGGCTCGAAGGGCCCAGAGAGGGAGGGAAAGAAAATCGACATTGGCTTATGTACCTAGCTGTACATATCCCTACGGCAAATAAAATCCAACTTGATCTGGAAGTCAAATGTAGGACATATAGGAATGACTCATCAGTGCTGTGTCGCATGTGACTTCCCCACGATATAGCTATGACCGACAGAGGTCATTCCAACAGTGGTTGGGCTGGGGCTGAGCGTTGGCTCGGTTTGGACGCTGACAAGATTGCCGCCGGGTGGGTGGGAAACAAACTCGACAAGGTGGACTGTTGGATGATAGGTGTTATGCTGATACAAAATAAAATAAAATAAATAGTCGAGTCTTTCTTGTTGCCGCATCTGCACTAAACCAAGATCGTCATATTGCCAACTCAATGTTACTCAGACCAATACCCTTTATATAGGGTCATTGGAATTGTACTGATAGGTTGACTTCTTTCCGATGATCTTTCACAGCACTAATCACAGTTCAAAATATCTAGAAAACGGGTCTAACCTTCCCTCCCCCCCCCCTGCTGACTACTCTAGACCAATCAATATGTGACATGGGTACCGTCATCGCATGCTGGACTCGAATAGTATTACCACCCCCTGGCGCTCGCCTTTCTTTGTAATCTTTGCCAGGTCTTCCCAAACTGGAATCATGGAAACGAGCCCATCGACTGAGCAGTCCTACCACTATTGTTGATGCACTTCAATTACGCTCCACTAACGCACCTTTGCATTTCCTTCGACGGATGGACATGATGTTGTCCGAACCACCAAAATAAACAGAAAAAACCACCCACTTTAATTTCCTCAACTTGTTCGGGGCGGGCATTGCGAAAAATAGTTGAGTAAGGCTTGCGCATATATTTACATCGGTGTCATCCACCACTCGATAACGAGCAGGACTTGAATCAGTAAATGCTCTCCAAAATAATCTTGACCTTTGAAAGCAACTCTTCATCCTCTTGACCAACTGCACGGACCGCGATCTGTTCAATTTCGGCTGTTGGTACCCCATATTGGCTCAAAGTCTTCTGCAGTCCGAGCTCTTGCACAAGGCTATGGAAACTGAGAATTCATTCTGAGTGTATGGCAAAAGACACTTGCCTAGCGATCATGTACGATAGTTTCTTGACATCTCCGTCAACAGTCCCAGTTGATGGCTCTCTGAGATATAGTAAGGCTTCAGCAAGGTACTCCTTGTCCTCTTGACTTGCTATTTCCGCTTGTAGGTTGACGACCGGTGCAAGTGTCAAGCACTAGAGATAAATCGTGGTTAGGAAATTATGCGCGGGTTCCGGGTGTACTGACTGAGGTGATGCCATGCGGTATTCCATATGTTGCTCCGAGCTTATGACCAAGCGTGTGAGATAATCCTACCGGGCTTCACAAGAAATAATTGAATGTAAGCCACCTCCGCGTAATATGACTTACCTATGTGTTTCAATCCTTCGCGGCCATAAACTCATCCATGACGCAACCTGCAGCCTCTGCCTGGCAACGAGATCTTCGCTGTCTTTCTTTGATAATACAAGAAAACGGAAGAGATCCGCGATAGCAGCATGGCATAGCTTTTTCATTGGTAAGGGCACTCCAGGTCTGTATAGACTCTCTGTTTCCAGATATTTAGAAGCACGAGGCGCCGCGTATTATCTTCTTACCAACCGCATGGTCCAGCGCACGCATGCCAGTGGAAAGCCTTTGGAACGAAGTGAGCATACACCGGGGTCACTGGATTGATTATCTACCATAATTGTTCAGGTGTTGAAAGAGTCAACTCGGCGTCCAGTATGATCCCCGCTGGAGTAAGCTGTTGATGAGCAACAACTACCTTGTCACCCTGTTTATTGGTATAGCCTGCACCACACTAGAATATCTAAATGAGAAAGCGAGTTATTTATATCTATATCACTTCGAGATCTTACCGTGTACTCGGCCGCACTCAGGGTTGTTGGTATTGCGATTTGCCGCAAGAACTCCAGCTCTTTGCCAGACGTTTCTTGTGCTCTTTGTTGCTGCAGCCTGAAAATAATAGCCTTTGATGCATCGACGGGAGAACCTCCACCAACGGACACTATAATATCGGCATCGACTTCACGAACTTGGAGACGCCATTCTCGATACCAGCCTCAGGAGCGTGCTCCCCGATTTCCGAGAAAGTGGCACCAAATGCATTGGATTTCTTCAGAATGTTCTCGATTTTTGTCACAATACCAGTCTACGCTCCGAGTCAATTATATTGATTGACAAATCTGAAGCGATTCATGCATCAACTCACCTTGTCACGGAGAGACCTTCCTGTTACGACAAGTGCTCGTTTGGCTCCAAGAGTGTCCAAAAGTTTGGGAGTGCGGTTTCAACGCACTTGGGCCCGTAGTAAACACCCTCGAGTGTATTGGTATATGCGTAAGACCCAGCTGGCACTGTCTCGTTGGCAGTCGTCATGGTAGATAAGAGGTATTAATAATGTTTATTTCCTGTGAGTGAGTGAGTGGTCGCAGTGGAGTTTGATATGCTTCATTGAGAGGACCGTATAAATAATCGCCATATCATAACTGTCATTGCGACAATTATCTATCAGTACTCACTGAGGCGGCAGCCCGCATGTGAAATTCCAAGTCCACTGGCAAGTCGTGCACTCGCTGGCACGAGAACAAGGTTGGTTGTATCGACCTTTAGTTGTTGATATGGCCGAACCGTCCTCGTTACTTGACATAACGTGCCGCTTGGCGAAAACCGCTATCTGACAAGTTCCTGCCGAATGAAACGGTACCGCCGCCCGCGGACATGGCCTGCGACTTGCTCGGCCCGGTAACAGTCTATTTTTATAATAGTTTTCCATCGAGTGGACTTACATCCTGCTTAGATCCCAAATCTCACGACAGTGAACGACCATATGCATATGTGCATGCAACTTAAAGCTTAAGTACTGGTGGTAGCAATTATTTAAATAACGCAACCATGAGCTACCTGCACAAGTTTCGTCGACTACCCACATTGACCCCACTGCGTCCGACGGCCAGGAGACTTAGTACTCTCTACAACAAAAATTGCGCCTCTAGGATCCAGCTATTCTCGTCCATGTCAGATAGAAGCAACGAACCTACCCAGAACTCGGGACAGCCGTTCAACTTTGCCGCCTCATTCCGCGAGACTGACCCACCAAACCCCAATTGGCAACTGAGGCAGGGCCTCCCAGACCATGTCGAACCTGGAAAGTCGTGGAAAGCAGAAGAAGAGAAAGGCTGGAAGACTTGGAACCTCTCAGACATATCGTCAAGGTACGCGACCTCGTGCAGTGTTGTACAAACAGTGGTAGCAGAAGTTCTTGCTTCTCAAACCTAACCTTATCGTTCGCATATCACTGACTTGAACTGCTGACAGGGAGATATATCCTTTATTGACTTCATGCATCGTGCCTCGCCCCATCGCGCTTGTGTCCAGCACGTCTTCCAATGGGATACCTAACCTTGCTCCGTTCAGGGGAGTTTTTTTCAGCACGTTTTAGCCAACCAGTCTGACCTAACTTCATTGTACAGCTACTTTTCGATGGTGCGTCAGACATCTTTTTGAATGCCTTGAAATTGATTTGTTTGTGCTGCTGGTACCTGAAAGGTCGCGCACAATCCGCCGTTATTGAGCATTTCCTTCTCTCATTCTCCGCGGACTGGGAAGTCAAAAGATACCAAAGAAAATATACTCGCGACAAAACAGTTTACCGTAAGCATCGTCAGCGAACCATTCATAGAAGCAGCAAATATCACAACTGTCGACGCCCCTGCTGATATCGACGAGTGGGACATCAGTGGTCTAACCAGATCTGCCAGCGCAAGTCCATTCCGTTTAGCAGCCGCAGCACTTGTTGATCATGTGTCGCTCGCGTACGTATTGACCGCAATGCTTGCCCTTACATAGATAGACGTGAGGCCCCCATGGGTCAAAGAAAGTGCCATCAGTTTTGAATGCGAGGTAGGCATGCACTTCGTTGTTTTATTTGCCATGCTCGCTTATTAATGACATCGGCTTCACAGTTGTTCCATTCCTACGAGATTCGTCCGCCCAATTCGGACGAGGTCACGAACACATTGGTCTTGGGTCTCATAAAGCGGACACATATTAGAGAGTCCGTTTTGACTGCAAGCGGTACCGTTGATCCCGCTAAGCTTCGGGCCGTGTCGCGCTTAGGCGGTGATATGTACGCGAGGATCGGTGAAGGTTTCGAACTTTCCAGGCCACCTTGGACAGTGATACGAAGTCAAGTCACGTCTGAAACTGAGTAGGAAGTCTGTTGCACTATAGCGGATACGAGCTCGCATTGATAGAAGGGTCCGCATGTTCATATCAGTTTGCATTTGGAAGGTTTCAGGTCGAGGGATGCGAACGTTTCGAAGATGCCGAGACAACGTTCCTTTGCGTAACCATCAACCACTGAGAAGAGTCACGGATATGGAATGCGTGTCAATGGACCTGATCTTTGTAGCGAACTTGGTCCGAATAAACGACAATGTATTTCTCACCGCATGGAACAAGCTGCACTTCCCCATGGTACAGGTTGAAATGAAGCAAAGCTTACTCCAGGAGGCGCATGCCTTGAAAAAGATTAACCAAAAGTCAGAAACACAAGGCATAAACGTGGAGGAATGCACTGCTACATGCTTTAGAAGATGAAGCCACGATGCAGAGCACGATGCGCGTGCCTTATCGATGATAATTGTTTTGACAAAGAATGATCTTCCGGTGCAGATCAACGCCCCATCAACTGGAAATAGCACACGAATAGCCCACGAACAGGTGACAATTTTGACAGGGACAACATGTGTTAGCGAAAATTACGAACGATGATGGTCCACCATTCGCCGCGTTAACCTCACTAACTGTTTGAAGAAGCGCAGTCAACAGTCGCCGTGACTCCTCGAGGCAGCTAATGCTCCTTTGTATAGATAGTTGAGACAGATGCACTCCAACAAGTACTTATGTGTCCGTATATTATTCCACAGCCTTGTCTCCGGAAGCTTTTATTAGTCACGTGTATACAAGTACTTCCGCCGCATTCGGTCTCTCGCAGTTTAGAGCCTTTCTCTTCGTTTGTTCTTCCTCAACATTCAGCGCTCAGCGCTCAGCCCAAGTATTAGGTGTGTCTTCAGTTATTTTTTTTTCGTTAATAATACCCATGATAAGTTTCAAAGACTGTCGTTTGCAACAGATATTCTTGCTACTGAGGCGTACCCTAACCTTCCGGGTCGGATACGGCCAACAAACTACGTGAGTCGCTTCTAAAATCACATAAACATAAAATCTAAGTGTACCGATGGTTTGTTCTCCTCCAGGGTTCTTCCCGGGCATGGAGAATGATCCAGGGTCGGTTGCTGAACAACGCGCCAATGCGGTTGCAAAGCTCAAACGCGCTGCATCTTTACCACGACTGAAAAATGGAAGGCGGCCCCAGATGCACAATGAAGTTGTTAGCGAAGGCGAGAAAACCCTGCATGATGATGTCCAGGATCCATCACAGGACACACCCCCCGAGTGCGTCTCCAATAGCGACTACAAGCCGATCGTACAGCCCGAAGAGAACCCAGGGTCGCCTGAGCCGTCGAATGTAAACCGTAAACGCCGCTCACGTTCACGTTCACGTTCTAGGGGTTCCAAGGATCTCAGAAAATTCAAACCTCCTCAGTCTCCTTTGCCAACGTCTGTTACGCCCAGCAACGATTCTTCTCCTGACGATTCACCACCCTCGCGAGCTGAATACCTTCCACATTCAATTCTCGCACCAATACCCTCCCATCTTAATCCGTTACCCAATTCTCCGTTCATTTTACCTGGTTTCTTAACGGCAGAGAACCCTTTTCTACCTTCTGTACCTTCTGGTGCTTCTTCTCCTATCCCAAGACTTCCCACATTGGAGGCTCTGGTGTCACGTCAAGGGCTTCAACGATCGAATAGTGCAGGTGCAGCCCGCATGCTAACTTTACAGAGCACATTACAAAAGCTCACGGGTGGCACGGAATTAATGGATTCAACATTTCCATCTCCAGCAATGTCGCCTCCGCCTTCTGGCACTAAACTCGGTCGGAACAATACTGTATCTGGTGGGGAAAGCAGCGAACGTAGCACTGCTCGGAGGCTTATGATGGCTCAACTGAACAAGAGGATGATAAAGGAGACGGATATAGAAGAGGAAGATCCTCGACCATTCAGCCCTTCAAAGCGACGCCAGAGACGACGTTCAAAACGTCAGTCCGCTAATCGTCCTGTGGTGTCGACCACAGATGAATCCGATCTTGTTTCGACCAACGATGCCACGCCAAACCGTTCCAACACCCCTCAAACTCAACCCGATGAATTAGCCCCCAACGTCCAGCGCACATCTTCCAGCACTCCCATACCCCCGATACCAATATATCCTCTTGCAACCCCAAGCATCAACCTCAACGAAACCATCAACTCCAGCCGTCAATCCACTCCTGTGCGAGCTGTGCCACCCACTCACTTTGATCACGCTGCCAAAAAAAACGGGAGAGTGTTCTGATAGAGGATCCAGATGACGAAGACCGATTCCTCCACAGTCGACGTATTATGGATTACCAGGTGCTCCGAGTCGGCCGCATCCTAGCCTTTCTCCTCGCCTTCCCCATTCATCAGACTCCACTGACTCACCACTTCTTGATGTAACGAATGTACCGATATTCCTGGCCCCCCATCTTGAGAGGACTCCGTCTCGGCAAGCCAGATTCCCTTCTAGTCCCTTCGCGAGACCTCATAAGGAGATATCGTTGTCGTCTGACCAGGAGGAGGAACGCGATCAGGAGGAGGAGGAATTCTTTCCAACAGAAGCTTTTCGACGGTCTCCATATCATGATGGTCTTAACCGAGAAAT